ATTTTCCAACCGTTTAAACCCCATTTTTCCCCTCTGTTTCTTCTCCATCTTCAACCTCTGTTTTTCTCAATCCAAGTTCCCTCTCAAAACACCTTCTTGATTTAATGATTATTTTTTTTTATTAAACATAACAAATTCTGAATTCAAATTACATAATATATGGGTAAAGTAAAATAAAAAAATAAAAAATAAAAGATAATTATCTCCGTTATACCATCAAAATAAATAAAAAAAATACTATACAATGTTACAAGGGTTATCACTTCTAAGCTTACCAATTTCGTTCTTATTTTATGTCCGTCAATCGACGTACCAATTTCATAATTTTGTGAAATAAGTATTATTTATAACTAAATTGCGACGCAATCATTACCATCCATTCGACATCCGACCATCACTTATATAGAGTCCTGATACTAGATAACCATCGGTGTTTTTAACTATAATTTTAAATTTTAATTTTTAATTTATATATATTAAAAAATATAACATAATTTAAATTAAATTAAATTATATTATATTAAATAAAATTAAATTCATAATATTAAAATAATTTTTATTTTATAATTTAATATAATTTAAATAATAATTTCCTACTACTAATTTTATAAATAATATTTTTGTTATAAGGTAATACTGAGAATTGTAGGATAAAGTGATTTGTGTCACCAATTATATATTGATTTAAATAAAAATTTTTCCTCTGGGATAAAGTGAATTGTAGGAGAAACCTTACCCGACAGCGGCACATGGGGGCATACTTTTCCTCTGACCAATACCATTCCCATGTCACATGAAATGGCAGTGGGGCCGGTGGTAATGGTAAACAATTTAATGAAATATTTGTACTCCTCCACCATTTAATGTATTCTGCCTTTTTTGTTAGGGTTATGTGGCATGCCACCGCCATCAATTACGCCTTTTCCTTTAACGATATATAGATTATATTACAAAAGAACCAGACATTGTTAACTGTTAGTGCAAAAAATGTTTTACTTTAACATATATAGATTATATTACAAAAGAATCATGACATTGTTAGGGCAAAAAAATAGCGTTTTTCTTTAACGACACCGTATGGATCTTAAATATTTTGTTGACACACCTCGCTTCCGGTTCAATTCAAAGGAGTCAATATCGTATCGTATTGGTCAATACGGTCGGTACGTATCAGTTTTGAAAGTTAACCAAAACAAAATAAATTAAGATTTCGTTTCGGTCAAATTTCGAGTGTAACTGTCAAATTTCGGTGTACTAGTCGAAATTTCAGATACCAGCTGGTACTTCGGAATTTGACCGGTACATTATGCAAGAAGGAAAAAAAAAAAAAAAGAATCCCCAGCCAAAACAATGTCGTTTTGACTGGGGGGTGGCGATAGGATACCCAGGTGGTAACCAGATCAGGCGGCCATAGTCCCTCGGAACCAGCAGGAGCGTCGCGGTGGGCGTCAGATCTGGCAGCCCTCGCGCGCGCCGCCACAGATCTGCCAGAGGAGAAAGAAGGCCGCCGGATCTGCACCGAACAGAGCAAGAAACAGCAAACAAACAAACAAAGTAAAGCAACATATAAACAAACAAACCAAAAAAACCCACACAAAACAAAAAACAAAGCCAAATCAGCAAGGGGATGGTGAAGATCAGAGGTGAAAGAACGGAGGTGATGGTGGCGATGGTGGATCTGCAGAAGGGAGAAAAATCAAGGTTTTTTTTTCTGTTTTCTCTTTTTTT